GTGGGGCCGGGGAGTTGGCGCAAGTGGGCAGCGCGGGCTTCGGGGTGGGCGAGCCCCACGGCCCTCTCCATCACCGGCTTGTTGCACTCTTTTTCTCGGGACGCCCCCTACCGAGCGCTGGGTGCCGACCAGAGCCCTTCTGCGGTGCGTGACCCGGGGCCGCCAGAGCCCGCGGCGACATGGGTGGCGTGTCTCCAGGCTGGAGGAGGAGGGGGGCGAGCTGGCAGAGGGAGGAGGGTGTCCTGCGGGCGCCCGGCGCACAGGCTGGCGAGAGCGTGCGCCCAGGTTGGTAAAGGGGTTCAGGCTGGCAGCAGCAGGAGAGAGAGCTCAGGGACCGGTTTTCTCGGGAGTAGAAGGGAGCTGGCGAAGAGGAGAGGCGAGGTGGGGAGGACCCTGGGGCGGCTCTGGGGGCTGCCGGCTGCCCTCCGAGGCCAGTTCTCCCGCTTTCTTCTGGGTGTCTCCTCCCCTCCCTGGCGCCCAGCAGCCCTGGCCCAGCCCAAGGTTTGCAGCCCCTGCTGGTCCTCTCCGCATCTCCTGAAAGGAGCCTGTTTTGTGCGGCCGCCTGGAAGAGGCCGACAACCACATTTCTAGCGTCAGATTTGGTCGGAACGCTGGGACCAGAAGGCCCCGGTACCCCGGGTGGGTGCCTGGGCGCGTCGGGCAGGGAGTGGCGTCTGGGAAGGGTGTGCTCCCTGGGAGCTGCGGAGCAGTACTGATGCCCGCCGGCGCTGCACCCGAGGCTGTGCCCGTCGCCGGTCGTCAGTGCCCTGTGCCAGGCGAGAAGGGCTAACTGGGCAGGAAGCTCTCGCTCTGTGGGGAGCTTTCTCTCGCTCCAGCGGGCACTGGGCAAAAGGCGCAGCCGGACTTGCCTTCTGTCTGCTGCATTCTTTACGCAGTTAGGCACACTCTTCAGCCTGATGACATTTCCTCAGTTGTGTTGGGAATGACAGCCTTCCGGGACTGGAATGGAGAGAAGCATCTTCCTCCTGTGACTTGGGTCTTTGTTGCAGTCACAGGATTTTGGATGCTCCACAAGAAAGATTCCTTTGGCATCTCTTTTCAGTGTTTCTCTTTCTGACCTCCCTCCTTCCTTTCACCGCGCCCCCTCCCCACATCGTCCTTGTTTATTTTTTTTCTTTCTCTTCCTTTTTCTCTCTTTCTCCCTTCACTTCTTCCCTCCCTCCCCTTTCGTTTCTTTCTTGTTTTCTTCCTCTTCTTCTGCCTTCCTAGGACCCCTGCCTCCTCCTTTCCTTACTCTTTAAATCTCCTCTTTCCCCCTCTGGAGACTCCTGTCAGTGTTCCCAAAATTTAGAGGAGCATTGTTGAACAGTATCTCACACCCAATTAGAGAACATTCCTAATCACTCGAAAGAGACAGGAATAGACTTTGGAAATAAGAACGATCCTTTGCAGGCACCCCTGGAAAAACAAACTGCGCCAGCTTTCTTGTTAAGTACATTCACCTCCAACCCACTCCCACTGCCTCCCTTCTTAACTTCTCCTTTGAGAGACATGATCGTGCAGCACCTCAGTGTCTAAAAGAAAGCTTTTGTTTTTTAAAAATGTGAAATTCATCCCTTTATCTTACATCTCCGCCTCCGCCCCCAATCCGCCCCTCCCCTTCAGAGATTTCTGAATCGCAGTGTTTTTCCCTCCTGGCAATGAAGCAGCAGATCCCAGCATCTGCCTCCTCACCCAATGAAGACTCCATTAAAACTGATCAATTTGACCAGACAGCGGAGGCATCAGAAAATCGGCTTCTCGATAGAGTAGCTAAATTCTTTAAGGAAAAGGAATGCACTTGGGGGTAAAACTGCAAGAAACGAGGAATCAGAAACGTCTTTCACTGCAGCCTTTCCACAGAGACTGGCAACATAAACATAAGCCTAATGTAGATCAAGATTTAATATCTTCACAGCATAGTTTAAGAACATCTCAATGTCCCTATCAAGGCTGGTGTGGTAACTAACTCAGGCTTATAAAAACAAGCCATGCTTGAAAGTAAAGGCAAAGTCCTTAAAAGTATTTATCCAGTAATTATGATAATGGAATTGGACCTGCTAGGATTTCAGTGCTTGGCTATATCGGTACAATTTTACAGAACCTCTTAGCAGAGTAAAATTGTTATTGAATTCTCTGCTAAGTAAAATTTTGGCATGCTTTCTAATAATATGCTCTCTTCCTAAGCCATTTTGCCCAAAGTGACTTAAAACTCCAAAGGAGTTAATTACTGGTTGTGACTGGTTAACAAAGGCAGTGGCTTCCACAGAGGTTCTTTAAATTATTAAACAGTTTGAAGCCAAGCCTTTCCAATAGAAACGCTGTGATTTTGTTCTGCTTACTATGTACTTCATGTTATAGTGCCACCAAGAATCAAATTCTGAAACTGGCAAGCACCACCAAGTGGCAGAAGAACACCATTCACTGAACAACATCGTATTATTGAATATGTAAATAAAATATATACATTATTTAGCCTCATCATTACCGACCAAAGAAAGAGAGGAGCATTCAACTCTATGTCTCCAAAAGCTGGATAGCCTTTCTAGCTCTTCCCCAACAGGGCCAGCTGCGTTTAGACATTAGAATTCAATTGGAAACCAGACTAACAATTGCTCCTTGTGGTGTGTATTGTATGCTTGCTTATAAAATTGCTCAATTATGTATGTGCAAAATTTCTTATTTTAAATATACAATATTAGCTTTTCATATTCCTGGGCTAAAATATTTGTGGTTCTTGTGTTATATACATTTTAGAATTGACTCAGAATGGGAGAGTTAAATTGTCAAATGTTAAAGTAGAAATAGAACAGCCTTGTCTCCCAAAACTCTTTTTTAAATTGTATGTCCTTCCCTGTATGGAAAGGGCACGGTGAAAATTTGAGATTTCTCTGAGATTAAGGGAAGGGAAGGGAGGCAACAAATGAGAAGTTTTTCAGGAACAAGAATAATTTAAGATTGATACATTAACTTGAGAAGAGAAAACATTGACCCTCCAAATTATATCTCTTTCTTAACCACAAATGCTTTCCCAGACTTCAGCAGTGCTAAGATACATGGATAGCATGCTTTTAGGTGTCAGATATTGTGCCATTGGAGAAGATTTTCATTTAATCCCCATAATACCCTATGACACATGAGCTACTCTCATCCCCACGTAACAGAGAAAGCATGAAGACTTTCAAAGCCTCAAAGAACTTGCCCAGTGGCACAGCTGAGACTGGACTTCTGACTTCAGGACCTCAAACTGAATACGCACTTTGGTAGTTACCTCCTTTGGTGTCAATTTAAGGATTAAGAATGTAGGGATGGAGTCTAGGCTGTCAATCTGGAGATAGCCAATGAGGCTTCTGTGGGCATAGCCTTCTGAGAATTCTGGGACTTCCTCCTTGGAGGTGGAAAACACCTCAGCTCTCTGTCACTCCCTCGGAGACATTGCAGGAGACAAGCCACATGGATGCAGCCAGACCTCTGAAGCCAGAGAAGCCGCAGAGAGACCCTTGCCAGCGCTGAAATGCTTACTCCTCCACCACACCCAAATACTTTCTCCCCACTGGCTTGTGATCATCCTGCATTTGGCTTCATTGCATGTGTTTTGTGAGTCTGAAGAGGACTTTATAGATTGGTATCGGACATATGGGCTAATATCAGA